GGGAGGCATGGCACAACTGGAACTGCATGCTACACAAAAAAGAGGCGACTTTATCCAAACCAAACCAGCCAACCAAATACAACTAGATGCTTGTTTGGTTTAGAAGTGTAGGTAGCCAAACAAGTCCATCTTATCTTGCCGGGGGCAGACTCAGACTAGCCTGACTTATTTCCTAGCCAAGCTAGAAGGAAGTCATGTAACTAAACACGCCCTAAATGGCCACAATGCCTACACCAAAGATTTTTTCCCCACTTGGTATCCATTTCGGACACCATTTCCAGCATCACCGGGGAAGAAGGGATGTCAGTGGCCCCCAAACACAAAGCAAAGGTAGCCCAAATCATGTTAGCACTAGCCCATGACGGGCGCCCTCGTGCGCGTCGGCAAATCACCTGGTTAAGGTGCAGGAAAAAAAATATTTTTAATCTTTGCATAGAAATAATTTTAGGAGTTTAATGTAGAGGACTGTTGGTCCAAACTAACAGGTTGAGTTGATGAACATACCATGATGGACGATTTCTGCTCCAGCGCTGCAAGTACAAACACTGAAAATTAGCAGGAGGCAGCTCCTGTGCTTTCAATTTAGACTATGTAAACCACTAACCAACATAAAATATTAGAGGAGAAAATATACTAATTTAGACTGTCTTAGATTATTATATATGGAACCTGCAGTAGCAGACTCTTGGAAGAAGCATATGAAGCTAGGCAAAAAGGCACGGGAATTACAAAGTGTAGCAAAGGAATGGCATACTAAGCAATAGCTAGAATAAACCCCATCAAGTTTGCATTAGTTTAAAAAAAGCAAGCGTGAATGTGAAGCCGATAAAGAAAGGTAAGATTGAGACTCAATAAAACCACGAAAGATGTACTTCATTAGGTGTGGTGTACACGACATCTTAGATGTCCAAATTTGTTAAAAAAACTAAAACGATAGATGTGTCGATTAGCTGACCTCTATCTAATGGTATATACATCAACCTAAAAGCTTTATCTAGTGGTTGCTTGTACCAATTAGCTGATCCCCAAAACCAAAAAGCCAAGCTACTGGGAAAGGTTGGCAAATCAAATATACATGAGCACCTTAAGACACATACCTTTTGTTCCATCAATTCATCAATTTAACTTCTGGTGTGGCTGAAATATGCTTCAAACTAACAATTTTAACCTGAATATACAAGCACAAGATAGCTATCAGGTCATGTAACAACGGTTACCTCACAGATATGATTGTAGTAATGTGATAGTGATATGGTAGCAGTGTAAAAAAAAAAGGTACATATCAGACTACAGGTTGAATAAGAATGAACGACAATGACATTTAACATGTACCAAATAAACATGTTCACCCATAGTAATTAGGAAGGGGCATTCTAAAGTTAGATCTGAAAAGAACATGCGTGTACCAAAGAAAGCAACAACAATTGACAAATGAAAAACCTACCTGCATACGATGAATCACTGAACATGTACGGAAAACAGCCTCACATGAAATTGAAGCATCACAGCCAAATCTAATCATAGGAACTCTTATTGTTGCTCCTATTCGGACAGGGGAAAAAATAGGAAATTGAAGGGACATGTGGAGGACGAGAAATCATGACCAGAGCGTAGGTTAATAGCTGGATTAGAACTAATCAACAAAGGAAAGATGTAAAGAAAAAAAGAGAACTAATCAATAATGAAAGGTAGAAGCACAATCAAGGCGCGATGTTTATGTGAATAACCGTAAAAATGTGAATCCAGGGAATAATTTTACAGCCATAGATTGAGGCTGTAACACAGAGAACAGAAAACTGAGAAAAGTAGAAGAGGCTATAACACAGAGAACAGAAAACTGAGAAAAGTAGAAGCACAATCAAGGCTGCAGTATAGAGCAAAAAAAATACAGATAAGAGCAAGAGCACAATCTACTTACCTTAAAAAAGCAGAAGGAAGAAATCACGTGTATTAGCACAACTATTATAAAAAAAACTCAACACACTGATTAGTCCCTCGGAAGCAACCAACAGTTACACGGCTGCGAAAGACATGAACCCGAGAAAAGATATATCTGTAACAAACTATGATAGAGGTTGTTTTAAAAGGAAATTGACTGTCCATAGCAACAGCATATGTGCAAGATTGTCAAGACAGGCTCCGCACAATCAGCAGAATGACAAAGAGACCAAGAAATTATGGCTGTGCTTGTCTTCAACCTAGACGTAGGAAGGCATAGATGTTAATTTTGTTTTCTACTGAAGTATAAGCGTCGGGCAGTCACAGAGCTGGCACAACGGAAAATTATGGATGTAAACATATACACGCAGCGAGTGGCACCGTTGAACGACAGAGAAAACCTAAGAAGACAAGAATAGAAATATACTGTAAATGTAACACAAAAAACTGAAAGCTAATGCCGCAGCGCTACCAAACCCAATCTAATTAGCAAAAGAGCAGATGCGAGCGGAGAAATAAGCTACAAATGACAAATTAAAATATGGGAACAAACTAATCAGCACCTAGTAGCACCCTCAAATGCCGCAAACAGGAAATCTAAGAAGAGAAGCATACAAACACAATGTAAATGGAAAAACAAAAAATATGAAATTAAGCTAATTAAGCAGCACCTACTAAACCCGATCTAATTAGCATAGAGTAGATGCACACGCCAGCGGACAAATACGCTATAAATCACAAACCGAAAAATCTGAAAACAAATTAATTAGCACCTAGTAGCACGCTCCAACACTGGAAACAGGAAACCTAAGAAGACAACCACACAAATATACTGTAAACGAAAAACCAAAATATGGAAGGTAACCAAGCAGTACGTACCAAACAAAGTGTAATTAGCAAAGAGCACAGGCAACAGTATGGCAGCGGACGAACGCGCTATAAATCACAAACTAAACCCTGGAAACCAACTAATTAGCACGTAGTAAACCAAAGTCAGTTAACAAAGAACAGAAGCCAATTTTGCAGACACTAAAATAAAATACTAAGCATCGGAAATAGCAATAAACTTGAAACATTCGCCTTCTTCCTTTTCTTTTGCGTGCCCTCTGTAAGCATAACGTTGTAAACCAATCCTAATAGCAGAAAACAAAGCTAATCTTGCAAACAAACCTGGGAGATGCAACCCTAATGTAGGCCGTCGCCATCGGCACTCTATATATAAGGAAACTCGGCTTGCATCTTGTATATGAAAATTTTTGAATCGAACAAAACAAGGAACCGTACATTGTGAATCAGGCGGAAACGGCAAACCTCGACAAAAACATGGATTTGGCGTGATCGACGGCGGCGGGGTTCACTAGCGTCAATTGCAACGACGACGGAGGCCACCTGTACCGGGGGAGGCTCGTGGCGATGGTGCCATGGCGGAAGCCGGCGGTGCCGGGGGGGCACCCACGCCGCTGCGCTGCGCCGGCGGCCATCCCGTCAGCAGGTCCGGCCGTGGCGTGCCAATTTTGTGTGCGGGGGGCCTCCCTAGGGTTTGCGGCACGCCGGGGGCCGTCCTGGAGGCACAGGAGCGGCGGAGCCACGGCGCTGGAGAGGGCGCAGAGCCGACGCAGGTGAAGGGGAGGGGGCAGCGCCGGGAGAGGCGAGGCAGAGGAAGGAAGAGGGTGGAGCGACGGAGACGAGAGAGCGGCGGAGGAACAGAGGAGACGAGCGATGCCGTGGCCTGGAGAGAGATTGGACGTGATGGAGAGATATTTTTTTTGTATGACCATTCACCTTCTGACGCATGGGACTATACACTAGAGGAAAGGTGGGGTAAACTAGAACCACTACATGCAAATCAGACGGCAGTTATTAATTCCACTAACGTGGCCACCCTGAGGAGCGGCCGAGCCAAACTGGCTTAATATATAGAGATTACAACAGGAAAAGAGCAAGTGTTGCATACATTCATCTTGCGCTGTGTTTAGTTTGGGAAGTTTGGAATTTGGGCTACTGTAGCACATTTGTTTTTATTTGGTAATTAGTGTTCAATCATGGACTAATTAGGCTCAAAACGTTCGTCTCGCAATTTCCAACCAAATTGTGCAATTAGTTTTTTTTTCGTCTACATTTAATACTCCATGCATGTATCGCAAAATTTAATGTGATAAATACTGTAGCACTTTTTTGGATTTTGGATGGTAACTAAACATGTGCTTATCACAAAAGTAGCAGGAAGGGTCTTCCATTGCCTTTTGATCATGGCAAAAAGTAGACTAGCGATAGTTTAACAATGAAAAAAATGGACCATTTGAGTTCACAAAGTTTATTCCGTGACCAGTCGCGCTCCATCGCTGCCGCGCGACTCCTCTGCGGAGTCAGCCTCTCTTCTTCGCCATCTCTGAGGAGGCCATATGGGCGGAGCTACATGCAGACCAAAGAGGACCATGTCCCCTCCTTGCTGATTGAAAATTCCATCAAGTAGCTATTAAACTGATAATTAAAATTAATAAGTATACATATTAAGTAAGAGATTAGTGCTGATGGTCCCCTTTTGTTTCATCATCAAGCTCCGCCACTGGTGGAGGCAAGATGGCCCGACGACAGGGCGGGCGACAGAGAAGACGACCGGGCAGGAACAACCATGCCCATAGCAACGGGGATGGGTAGAAGGAGGGCCGTGGCCTCGGAGCCTCAGCGAGACTCTACCACGTCCCGATGGGGCGGTGGGCAGCGGCGGCGGGAGGTCACGCGCTCACAAATAGCGTGACTCGTCGCGCAATATCTGCGTCCATTCGAGTTGCCTGGGAAGAGTTTATTTTCTCCTCTCCAGTCAATATGGTGTTTGAATCTTTATGAACGTGGTTGTAAATCAAACAAAGGTTTATACAAGTCAAGTTCGTGGGCGTTGAAAAAGGATCAAATGAACCATGCGAGGACAAGATGTTTGAATTTTGTGACATGCCTGGAATTTTTAGAACATTTTCCCCCTTCAAAACTTAAACAGCATGTCACTTAAATGGCCTTGTTAAAAAAGGGAAAGATAACCGGTCACAACGAAGAAAACCGGCAGCTCACGGGAAGGGCGCGTGGCGCTTCATCTCGGCCGGGACGACGTCTACCGCGAACCCCTTGCGGTGCAGCCGCCAGTAGTCGGCGTTCGGGTTGATCCACTCCGGCTCGTCCATCTCCACCCTGGCCGCCTTGAGCCCCCCCGCCGAGCTGTCGACCCCGTACCTCTCGTCACGGCGGCGCACCAGCTCGGCGCGCGCGCGGCCAGGCTCGGCGGCCTGCGGCGACACCATGAGCGCCGGCGCGCCGAGGGGCAGCGCGTCGCCGCGGTCCACCTGCCAGGTGCACCAGAACTTGCCGTACGTCTTGGCGAGGCTCGCCATCTCCGAGCTCTGCAGTGCCTCCGGCACGGCCACGTCGGTCCACAGCCCGGCCTTCACCTCGTACGCGTGCGAGTGCCACAGCCTCTGCTCGTCCGGCGGCAGGCCCTCGAAGATGGTGTCCGAGACGATGTACTCCACGCCTGCATCACAACTGTAATCTTTGTAACGGTGCGGCGTGCAGCGGTGCAGGCGCAGCGGAGAAGAAGAGGAGGCGCCAGGCGCGTACCAATGAGGCGGGCCGAGGGCTTGTCGGAGTCGTAGACGGCGCACTGGAGCACGTCCTGGTTGAGCCGGGAGACGAAGTGGTGGACCTCCATCTGCCGGTGCAAGTCGTGGGCGTACAGCGCGATGCTGCACGCGTGCTGCTTCATCTGCCGCACCGGCTTCAGCGCCTGCACCAGCTGCGCGCCCATGTCCAGGACCTGCGAGGACACCGCCGTTGGCCTGCCCGGCGGCGAGGGCTCGTCGGGGCCCGACGCGGGCGTGGCGGCTGGATTTTGATCGCTAGAGGACATTTTGCTTCGTCCCAAACCGACTTCAGATCGCACGAGACACTGCGTGGTGCCTGGTGCGTGATGGTTTTTATCAATCATGTCGGGCTCGCGGCTCATGAGCCAGCCGTCCGACGCGTGCCGCGCAGATGAAGAACGTGGCATCTCGCATGCAACTAAAACCTCCCAGATGGCCAAGCAAAACTTTAGTGGATTTTTGCCACCAGCCCACGTGTCACAAGAGACGACGCGAGAAGTATGCATCGGTGGCAACAAAGACATAGTATCATTGACTCGTGCATACGGAAATTTGTAGGTACAAATTGTACTGTTATTTGATTGCTCACTCTCTGCGAACTGCTCTCTCCCTCTCTCAAAATAGATAATTTTAAATTTTTATCTTAAAATACTTAATTTTCTCAGTTCCTAATACATTTTTTAATACTCTCTCTCTATTCCTTAAGAGACGAGTCCTAAAATAGTTATCATTCATACTTTTTAATACATCTTTCTTTTTCTCAAGACACCTCTATTTCTTTTTCAATTTTTCTTTTATCTCCTTGTTTTCTATGCACAATATCTTTTCACCCTTCATAAATTTCTATGTCTAAATCTAAAACGTCAAATATTCTTGAGTTTAAATCTAAAACATCAAATATTATACTCATATGTCCATTGTAACTGTATGTGTCCGATGTAACTAAAACCTTACCCATTTGTTCCACTCAGGCTTATTTGGAATCCCAGTGCTGTGCAAACCACTTGTATGTGTCAGCTGTAACTAAGGTCTCGTTCGCTTATCTTATGAGCCGTACTATTTTAATAAACAAACAGTGTTTTTTTTACAATAAATTAACGAACGGTATTTTTAACCATAGCTTTTGATGAAAACGATAAAACAAACGTACCCACCTGTTTCACTCGGGGCTTATTTGGAACCCAGTGCGCACAGGACGCGTATGTCCGCTGTAACTAAAAACCTTACACTTATTTCACTCGGAGCTTTTGTGAACCCCAGCGTTGCGCGGCACGGTTCCGTGATAGGCTGACCGTAGCCTACAAACCGCGACACGAAAAACACAAGCGGTAGTTCATTCTTACAGTGTCTGTGCCTGGTGTGGTAAAAAGAATCATCAATATTAAATATTTGGTGGGATTTTTTCAATATCTAATTTCAAAGAAATAAACACATCCTCAGCTAAACTCGAACACGCAAAGACCACAGACATGGACTGCATGTACCTATTCCACGTAATGTAATTAATGCGTCCGCAATGGTGCTAGTTACATAGCCACTTACGTGGAGATGAGAGACAAAAGCAAAGACTATTTTATACATTTTTATTTTTCTACGTACTATTAGACTCACATGTTTCTCTCTCAGATTCTTAGACTATGTGAAATAGATTAGCTATTTGTTCATCACTATTGACTACTCTCTCCTACTTTTTCACTGTCTACGTCAGAATAGCTAGCTAAATAGGTGTTGATGACGCCCTTAGAAATAACTCTTGAGGATCAAACAGGAAGAGTTATAGGTGGATTAAAGTATAGCCAAAGCCCTAACTAATTGTTAGTTAAAAAATATCAAAGGTATCGAAAAGTCATCTCTTTCTTCTATTCTCTCTCGAGAGCACATATAGGTTCAAGGGAGAAAACTTAGTACAGTTGTGAGATTACCATAATACCCCTACAAAAAGGGTATGCTATCTTTTTTTCGAATGTCATCACTTCAGTTCACGCAGCAATGGTTTACGGTAACAGTGCACATACAAATAAAATAAATAAACGAAGCACAACAAGTCTGGTCAAAATTACATATATGAGAAGCACGTGGCAACACAGCACACTTGCACAACAAATGTGTGGCCAAGAAACAAAGGGTCGTCAAAGACCATTACAGAACCTTCCAGGACATCTCGGGCGCCAATTGTGCCTGGAGATTCAAATCCTAACTCCGCGCCATTGCCCCCACTACAAAAGACTTCACATGCTCGTGAGGCATCCACTTGCTCCAAAATGACCGAAACTCCTCAGCATGCAATCCACTCCATCTTCCTCAGTCTACAATCCATTCCCTATTCAACCATGGCCATATATCTAAATAAAGTAGCAGATGAAGCAAGTGGACAGCTCTTACCTGACCTGAATGAAGAACCTCCTGATGAGCATGGAGATGTAATCCATCATCTTCAGGAAGATCAGGTACATCTCAAAGAAAATGAAGTCGATCGACTCCAAGAAGGTCAAGCCCACTATCTCTATGAAGGGGAACACAAAGCTGTGCATGGCATAGATCTCAATGTTGCTGCTTGTGAGGGACAACAACAAGAACCTGATGCAGGTAATGTTTCTCTTAATTACATTGTTACAACATGTAAATGACTTGTAAACACAAGTTTGAACATTCAATTACCTATCCTTGTCCCACCTTATTGCAGTCCTTGCTGTTGAGGAAGACCAACAACAACATGGAGATATCAACTTTGATGGACCACATGAGTACGGTGTATTTGACCTCAACTTAGAAGCTTCAGATCACCAACAAGATGGAGATATCAACTTTGATGGTCCAAATGATTACGGTGTATTTGACCTCAAACTAGAAGCCTCGGATCACCAACAAGAGATGCAACAAATGATCAGTAAGCCTCAAATCAACAACCCTTTTTACTTATTTTTTTAATGAGTACATTGACTAAACTAGGTTCAGAGAGTTTTTCGAAATGACTTGAGTTGTTGTGTTTAGCTTATTTCTATGCTCCTTCCTAAACATAGCTGTCAAATACTTCACACCATGTTTTGCAAACCAGATTAATTTTTAGTGAAACCTATCATCCATATCTGCATATCCAGTAAGCGCGGATTTTTTTTCTTTGCCAAGAGTCTTAACATCTTCGTACTGCTGTCTTACCTGAATTTTTTTTGTAGACATGATGAAGGATATGCATGACTATGGTGTGTATACTGATGTTGTGGACATAGCCTTTGACGAAGAGGAGTTGGAGGACTCTGGTGTAGCACCCCTGGTGTTACGAGCTCGTTTAGCACCGCGATTTAGGCCTAAGAAAAATTTCCGAAAACAAGTTTCTTGGATTTTTTATTTAAAACGTACTCCTACGTGTAACAATGGCGCTAAGTGCAGTGGTAACATGTCCCTGTCTGTCGTCTCTGCACAAGACTATACAAGTTGACCGACTGCTCCTCACTTGCTTGCGAAGCTGGTGGTCTGGTCCGAATTTTTAATTGGAGCACGTGGTTCTCCCCCTGTCCTCGCCATGTCCTTTCACGTTCTATGCGCGCGCAGTCGCGCGGCTGGCGGCCACACTGAGTCATCCCATCCTGCCTCCGTGTCAGTGCTCTGGCGTGTGTACGACATGTACCCCCCCTCGTGCTGCTTCCCGCTCTTTGCTTTTCTACCGCCGTGGAGGAGATGCCCCAACTCCTGTCTGCCAGTCCGGTCTGCCATACTGGTCTTGTTTGCCTGTGTTGAGCCGCTGCTCACTCTATCGCCTTGCCTCTGCGATCTGTCCTTGCTTGTCGTGACCGCCTCTTTTTCCTCTCTGCGGCGCACGCCAGGCTCGTTCCCACAGCGCTGCCTTCTCACTTTTCCTCTTGTGCCGTTCTTCTCCGCTCTGCCTGCCTCGGGCGTCGGCGCTCGCCATGCCCGCTCCCACCCGCAGCAGCCTAGTGCCCCACCGTCGGCACGCCTCCTATGCCAGACGCATCCGTGTCATAGCGCTACCCCTCCTTTTCCTCCCCTGTGCTCGCCACCCTGGCGTCTGCTCCCTTGTCCCGGCACGCCATGCCGCCGTGTGGCCACCGTGGCTGCGTCGTCTGGCGTCCATGCGCGTGGACGGCCGCTGCTCGCACCTGCGGCCACTCCCACAACTCGAGCCGCAACACCCCGCCATTGTCCGCCGATGCTGCCGAGTCGGGTTGCCTCGCGCCCGCCGATGCCACAGTGCCGCTCCTCCCTTCCACGGCCGCTCGTCTCGCGCTCCTCTACGCCGCCGTGCTGAGCCCCATCACGGCCCGCGCCTTCCCTGTGCCATGCCACCGCCCGCCCGTAGTCGGTTTCTCCCCCACCTCGCGCGAGCGCGCGCAGGCTCTCAGCGCCGCCCCTCCCTCTGCTTGCCCTACGCCGAACCGCCGGTTGCCCGGGCTAGCGCTGCTCCACGGCCGTCACAGCTGCCGAGCCTGTTTCTCGTGCCTCAGCCACGCCGTGCGCCCAGGCTCGCGCTTGCCTCGCGCCGAGCTCCGCATCGCCTTGCCTTCGCGCCCGCCGTCGGCCAAGTCCACGTCGCCGAGGAGCCACGCCTCGCTAGCCGGCTCATCCGCGCTCTTCGTCCGTGCTCGGTACCGCGGCGTCTGCGCTCTGCCCCGGTGTCTGCACCCTCCTCTCCGGTCGAGCCTCTCCTGCACCTGTCGTGCCCCGCTGCCTCTCTCGTGCGCCGTGCCACTACGCCGCTCCTCTCTACCGCGGTCGCTTGCCTCGGGCCACACGCAGCTGCAGCGTCGGTGAGTCTCCTGCCACCAGGTCGCCAAGGTGGTTTGCCGTCTCCCGGAGGATGGTCGCGCACAGCTCCGCCTCCACGACCCACCCCATCGCCTGCCGCCGAGAGCGCCCGAGTCCCGTGCCGTTTCACCTCCATCACCATGCATCATAGCGCCCCCTCCGCGTAGTGCGCCTGGGCGGCGTGGACCCACGCCGCCCCACATCCGGCGTTGTTGCGCCTTCGGTCGTCGCCCGGCCACCGCGCGCGAGCGTGCCGCACCACCCGTGTCCATCCCCGCTGTCGTTCACCCGTCCCATGCCTCCTCTGCTCCTCTGCTTCTCCCTTGGCCGGAGAAGGGTAAGAATCCAAGCCAAAATTTTATACAGGGTCCTTACTATGAAATACGTGACTCATACGAATAGTACATGTTGGACTGCGGGGTAGATTTAAGATAGTACAGGAGCCTTTTCGCAAAGTGGTGCCGCAGTCGCTGGATTCTTTCCCATGGGCCAGATTGCAGGGGCA